CGGTCAGTGAAGACGAAGAAGAGAATGATGTGTGCTCCCGGCGCCTATTTATACTATAGTCGCACCGGTAGTGACGTCATGGCTGTCGCCGGCCAACGAGTTGGTGTTTTTTCAATGTATGCTTCAGACACGGGTCACGACGAGGCGTTCCCCATAGCAACCCCTAGAGGACGCAGTTCGAAGTTCCCATGAAAGGGAACGTATTTCGCGTTAAACAGGTTGTTTTTGAAAATCTGTGCACAAAATAAAGTTGCTCTTAATTTTCATAGATGACCGCAGTGTTAATAATTTTAATTATAGGCCTATAATTGAATTGTATAAATTAATAGACCTGTTTAAAAAAAATTATTGCGGCGCAATAATTTCATGTAATTTAATAATAAAAGTAACCTAATAATAATAATAGGCCTAATAATAAGAAGAATGTAACAGGCCTACATTACTTGTAAATCCTCATAATATTGCCCATTTTTGATGCTTTGTTTTGACAATATCTCTGGCTATCGTTGACACATGATACAACGCATCTCAGCACGTGGAGGTTATCACATCATTTTACATATAGACTATGATTTAATAAAAACATATTTTGTTATTTTTAGTTAAACTTAATTTTTGTTGCTTGTCTGCGCTCGTCCGCCGCCTTTTTCTCTTCTCCGATAGCTTACTGTGAGTGGCACCAGTCCAGTGTTTGCAGGTTTTACTCGTGCTATTTCTCCATGTTGAGAGTTTGGTGTCGCACATATTGCTAAGCATTCTTATCCTTTTCTCCGATAAACTGAAAATAACAGGTGTGTCCATCTCACAAATGTAGAATCCGTCTCTGCAGTCATCTCAACCATCTAATTCCAGCAACAGAAGATAGACAAACTATTTTACCCGCAGAATTTTTTCTCTGGTGCTGTTTTGCGGTGTTAGTAATATGTTGTTGTAACTTGCGTTACTGAGATTGTAACGAGTAATAATATTACCCAAATTTGATTAGTAATGCGTTATATTACTGCGTTACAGCAAAAAGTAATATACTACTGTAATATTATTACTTTTGTAATGCGTTACTCCCAACACTGCTCATGAGCAGGCCAAGATCATCAAAGCACAGCCAATGTGCTTTTTATTGTTCAACAACTTCCTTTGAAATGGAGGATATGTTCAGGGTGATGTTTTCAAAGATACATGAATTCAGCTTTTCTCATTCAGATTCCTCACTGTGTTTGCACTCCTCAAATTAAATTTATGCTGTGCTGACTTTAGGTTCTTTCACAGAGGAAACCCACGTTTTTTTATTCCGTATACTCAACCACCCAGAGCAGAATCCATTTTCTGAAGGGAGCAGCATTACGTGCGCCTCTCTCTGATTTTTCCTCATCGTAATGTCTGAAGCGAAACACAAAGCATGCAATTTTCCACCCCAAGCTTCCAAGACATCATAATGGCTAATAAATGCTGCCATGTTAAAGTGTTCGATTCACATATTCTAGGCATTGCAGTTCCTTTCAGTTCAAGGACACTACTGTTAATTTACATTGGATTGTCCAATTGACTCAAGCAAAAAAAAAATGCAAGTTGTGCAATCACAATTAGAACTGATAGTTTGTTTAGCTTCCTTCATACCACCAGTGATGCAAAATCTACATCAACTTGTTACTCTGCTTTCATTTCGTTTAGTTTCTATGCTAATTAACATTCCCTACCCTCAACATCAATAGAGGGGAGGACATGAACCATCTTGAAAAAATAATGACTGATTATTGTGCCTCAAGATGAAATTTTGCTATGTCAAGGACTTCAGTAAATCTATTCAACCTTCCAGAGCCTGAAATGTCGATTGCACAGAGGACTAGACTTTATCGGACCTGAGGCCACCTGAATGTCCCGAAAGTTAATTCCCTGAGTTCAATTTTCAATTTTTCGGTTTGAATCCATCACACCTCAACAATATAGCTAGAATCTTGTGCACAGAGGGGCCATATATCCAGCTCCCTTTTCTAATCTCAGATGTCGTTAGAATGATTTAAATTCAATATGTTCTCGAGTTCACAAATTAGAAGATTAAATATCTCCAGTACATCACGGCCTTATCAGAATTATTGCACTTGGGATTACTTATTTCTGCTTTTGCTGCATCCTCTACATGTGCAAATAGAGTTGAATATTATTTGTTATGACCAAGACGCATTCAGTTATGAGTGCTGTGAATGCTAATGATATTTGAGTAAGTATACAACAACATGCACAGCATAGTAAATACAACCATATGAGAGATTCAAATGCAGAGAGAAAGACACTTGTATAACAAAGGTCATAACATGAAAAATATCATTTTCTTTGGTTTAATGTAATGTCAACAAACTGTTGGTTTCAGACCAACTGCATGACTTTTATTCAACAGTTCAATAAACAAGAAGTTAAAGGTCACATATTGTACACCTTTCTGGAGTTTTATTTTAGGTTTTGATGTCCTTAAGAATATATATTTGCGGTATAAGTACCAAAAACCATCTCAATATATTTTTACAGCTCCTTTCCCAGGAGCTCTGCTGAGAACAGGTCGATTTTGGCCTGTCTAATTAATATTCATGAGCCTCTCTTCTGATTGGCCTGTTGTGT